GTTTAGGGCTGTTGTACATAGGGTCGCTATGAGTTGCAAACGACTCGACGACACATAACAACACCACCACAGCTCAAAGGCATCAATTCTTCTATCCTCCTTAGTAATTGTCTAGCTGAGGAATAGCAAGTGACTGCAAAGGCCATGGCCTTTATCAGTCACCATAGTGTCCAGAGTGACACCAGTGCTCTTCAGTACTTTGGAGAGGTCCCTAACAGCAGACTTTCCCATTGCAGTATGTCTTTTAATTTCCTGGCTGAAAGTAAGAAATACCAGAAAAATGTGTTTGTGCTTTACTGACTATGCAAAGGCATTTGACTGTGTGGATAATGACAAGTTGTGGCTGGCATTGAGCATAACGGGAATCCCAAAGCACTTGATTGTATTCATGCAGGAGGCTGTTGTGCGAATGGAGCAGGGGAGCACTGCATGGTTTGGAATTGGGAAAGGAATGTGCCAGGGTTGTATTCTCTCTCCATACCTATTCTATTATATATTCTGCTGTATGCTGAGCAAATTATCCAAGAAGCGGTACTCTATGAGGAGGAGTGTGGCATCAGGATTGGAGGAAGACTCATCGATAATCTGCATTATGCAGATGACACAACTTTGCTTGCTGAAAGTGAGGAAGGCTTGAAGTCCTTGTTGCAGATCAAGGAATGCAGCCTGTAATATGGACTGCATCTCAATGTCAAGAAAACAAATTCTTACCACTGGACCAATAGGCAGCACCATGATGGATGGAAAGATTGAAACTGTTGACAGCTTCATCTTGCTTGGATCCACAACTAACACCCTTGGTACATGCAGTCAGGAAATAATAGGACACACTGCAGTTAGGGACATTAGGGACCTTTCCAAATTGTTGAGGAATAGTGATGTCAATTTGAAAACTAAGGTGCATCTAATTCAGGCCATAGTTTTTCTGATTACTAGTTGTGTATCCAAGAGCTGAATAATGAATAAGGATGAAAGAAAAAGAATTGAGGACTATGAGCTGTGGTGCTGGAGAAGAGCACTGAACATTCATTCCATGGACGGCCAAGAGAACAAACAGATGTCTTCGAGAGGGTGCAGCAGGAGAGCTCTTTGGAGGCAAGAATGATGAGGCTTTGCCTCACATATTTTGAACTTGTTGCTTAGAGGTCCTATTCCTTGGAGAGGGACATGATGCTGAGAAGTGAGAAGGGTCAGTGAAGGAGAGGAAAACCCTCAACCAGGTAGACTGACACAGTGACTGCTGCAATGGGCTCTTGTGTGTCAGGAAGTGTGAGGATGGTGCAGGATAGAGCAGGGTTCAGATCTTCTGTACAAAGGGTCACCATGAGTCATGCTCAACTCAGTGGCCACCTACCAACATTTTAACATCCAAGGACTTAAGAATTACATAGTCAGCTCGGGGTCGACTCCTCTGTCTCTTGCGAGAGATACGTGTCGGCCCGGAGCTCCGCAATAAACCTCTTGCTGTTGCATCAAAAAAAA